TAATGAAATCCAGCATGATCGACTCCCATGGTCCTGCGGGTATTGGTAATGGCTCGAGTAGTCCCGCTGGATGCTTGTTCTCGACCTTGTCTTGTTGGCACACGAGACAGGTCCTCACATATGCTTCCACATCGTCCTTCAGTTGGAGCCAGAAGTAGTTGGACTCGAGTAAGGCTATCGTCCTCCGTTGCCCTGGGTGGCCTGCCCACTTGGTATCATGGCACTCCTTCATGAGATCTCGTCGTAGTCCGTCCCACTTTGGCACAACCAGACGTCGCCCTTTCGCGTAGAGTAGACCGTCCTCTACCCAAAATCGTTGGGTCTTGCCTTCCTTTGCGAGCTCCATGAGCGCCTTCGTGACAGGGTCCCGTTCGAGCCCTTCTCGAATACGGGTAAGGACATCCCCGTCGGCTTTGCTGATGGCGGCAAGTTCAGCCTTGCGGCTTAGAGCATCGGCCACCACGTTGGCCTTCCCGGTTTGTATTCCAACGAGTAGTCAAACTCGGCCAAAAGTCCTGCCATCCGGCTTGCTTTGGGGAGAGTTTCTTACGGGTCTGGAAGTAGCTAGTGGCTACATTGTACGTCTTTATCTTTGAAGTGCGCCCCTAGCAAGTAGTGGCGCCACACCCTCAAGCAATGGATGATGGCCGTCATCTCCTTTTCTTGCACCGTGTAGCGTCGTTCGGTGTCATTCAACTTTCGACTTTCAAACGCTATCGGGTGCCTCTCTTGCATCAATACTCCCCCAATAGCAAAGTCGGAGGCATCAGTGTGAACCTCAAATGGCTTAGTGAAGTCAGGTAATGCTAAGACAGGCTCCTGACTCACGGTGACCTTGAGATCTTCAAATGCTCTTTGACACTCGTTGGTCCATTCCCACGACTTCCCCTTTTTGAGTAGGTCGGTAAGCGGTGCGGCCCTCGCCGAGTACCCTTGTATGAACCGCCGGTAATAGTTGACCAGCCCCAAGAAGGATCGTAACTCGGTAACTTTGGTGGGAGCTTCCCATTCCATGATCGCCTTCACCTTTGCCCCGTCCATCCGGATCCTTCCATGGCCTATGACATGTCCCAAGAAGTTCACCTCTTCTTGGGCAAAAATGCACTTGGATTCCTTAACATAAAGTTCGTTCTCCCGGAGTACCTTGAATACGGTACGTAAGTGGTCAGCGTGCTCCTCGAGCGAGTTGCTATATATAACGATGTCATCCAAGTAGACCACCACGAACTGATCCAAGTACGGATGGAATATCTCGTTCATGAGGGTGCAGAATGTAGCTGGGGCATTTGTGAGCCCGAAGGGCATCACTAACCATTCGTATGACCCATACCGCGTAATGCACGTGGTCTTGGGTTCGTCTCCCTCGGCGATGCGAACTTGGTAGTAACCCTTCTGTAAATCCATCTTGGTGTATACTCGGGCTCCCCCAAGTCGATCAAATAAATCGGCAATCAAAGGGATGGGATAGCGATTTTTGATAGTTACCTTGTTGAGTGCCCGGTAATCTACGCACATGCGTAGTGTTCCATCATGCTTCTTCTGAAAGAGTACCGGTGCGCCATAGGGGGCCTTGCTTGGGCGGATTTTCCCGGTCTCTGTGAGCTCCTTGAGCTGCCTCCTCAATTCCTCGAGCTCAGGGGGAGACATTCGGTAGGGGGACATGGCTGGTGGCTTGGTGCCTGGCTCCAACTCAATCTTGTGATCCACCCCTCGCCTTGGTGGAAGCTTGCTTGGCAACTCGGCAGGCATGACGTCCTTGTTCTCCTCAAGGACTCCTTGGATAAGGGAGGGCACCTTCGGGGATTTCTCATCATGGTTGTTCTCCTTTAGTACTGCCAAGTAGGTTGGCTCTCCTCGCTTTGCCCCCTTGGCAAGGCTGCATCGCGGAGAGTTGCTTGCTAGCACTCTTGTTGTCCCCTTCTATAGTTGGAACCATGCATGGAGAGCTCTTCTCCAATATACAAACAGATACTAAAGGATGGCATTGGTATAGCCGTTACACTGTCGTAAGAAGTCCATACCGAGTACCACCTTGAAGTCGTCCATGGGTGCTATTGAGAAATTCACGCGTCCTTGCCATGTCCCTAGGCGCAGACTCACGTTGCTAGCAATTCCGTCGAGTCGACGAGCATTGGCATTGACAGTCTTTAGCCACCCAGTTTTCTCGGACCAAGATAGTCCTAACCTTGCGGCTTCCTCCTTGGTAATGAAGTTGTGACTAGCTCCCGTATCCACTAGAGCCTTTGTCGGAGTCCCATTAATATGCGCTTCCACGTACATGAGCCCCTTGCTAGACGTGATGCGCTCGGGCTTGGTATTGAGGGCATTGAGGACTTGCAACGAACCTATCATTGTTGGCTCTGCCTCCTTAGTCTCAGTCTCGGACTGCTCCATGATGGCTGAGAGGGACCCTAGCTTTGGACAATCCTTCATGGCATGTGGCCCCTTGCACACAAAGCAGCCTCCCTTAGGGACAAACGCCTGTTTCTTCTCCTCGTAGTTGCGGCGTCCGAAGTTTCGATCCTCCTTGGCCGGTGCTCGTCGTTGGTCTCGGGAGTCTCGGTTCTTGTGGTCCCTTTTGTCTCCTCCACCTTTGGCGGAGTACTTCTTGTCCTTCTTGGTGGCATCGGAAGATGATGATGGGCGGAACTCAATTAGTGACTCGGCTGCGGTAATCGCATCATCAACGGTCTTGACGCCCCGACGTTGTAACTCTTGTTTCGCCCAATGTTGGAGTCCATCCACAAAGAAGAAGAGCGAGTCGTCCTCGGTCATATTGGGAATCTGGAGCAAAAGGGTGGTGAATTCTTTGACATAGTCGCGTATGGTCCCTTTTTGCTTTAGCTCCCGTAATTTTCGTCGGCCTCATAGACAACATTCTCCGGATAGAATTGTCGTTTAAGTTCTTTGACAAAGTCCTCCCATGTGTCTATCCGGCACGTGCCTCGCTCGATGTCACCGTGCTTCCTGCGCCACCATAACATAGCAGTATCGGAAAGATAAAGGGAAGCAGTCTTTACCTTGGTAGCTTCATCCGTGAGACTTATGCCCTCAAAATATTGTTGCATCCTCCATAAGAAGTTGTCCACCTCTTTGGCGTCCCTTACGCCGTTGTAGCCTATCGGCCTCGGACACTCCACCCTTGGTGCGGGCGTGGAGTTGCTAGCCTCCCCACTAGCAATCGCCTTCTTGCAAACAGTGAGATCCTCACGCATCCCCTCGATGCTTGCTTGGAGATCCTTCACAAGGTCCTCCAGGTGATCCAAGCGGTCCTCCGTGGAGCTTTGTGCATCGAACCCCTCTTGGACAACACCTTTGACGGACTCGATTTCCTCCAAGACGTGTGTCTCCAACGTTTTGAAGGTGAACTCGACCCTTTCGAGTTTCTCGGACATTTCCCCAACGACTTGGTCTAACGGCGAGACCTCCGCACGAGCTCGGCTTTGGTCCCGACGTTTCTTGTCCTTGGTCCCGGTGGTGTGTTCCCTCCCTCGGGTTTGCTCCTCGCTTACACCCGAACCGGACGCATTATGTTCCTTCTCCCCTGCCATACTTACACGGTACCGAGCGTTGCTATGATACCACTTGTCACGCCCTTGTTTCTCGAACTTGGTTGCGTGCGGCCTTAGCCTCTCGTGCGCCCTTCGCAACTAGCTAAGTCAGCCTCACCTCACTCGGGATCGTGCTCGGTGTGTGCAAGTGCTTTGGCTAGAGAAAGCGAGAAAAGAGAACTTGAAGGGAAATGCTTCTATTACTCAAACTCTATTACAAGTGAGCTCTCAAAGCTTGGATGGATTGCAAATGAGGGGGCCTCCTCTATTTATAGGCACCACCTCCTCTAAGGAATGCTCTAGATCTTACAAGGGTCTTGGTCTTTCTAGACCCTTCTACAAAAGTCTCCATCTATCTTCACATGTCCTAGAACCTTCTACACAACTCAAGATGATTCTTGCCCTTTCTACAAGTCTCTACAAGGTTCTAGGATGTTCTTGTCCCTACTACAAATATCTACATAATTCTGGAGCCTTCTAGAAGCTTCCAGTCAAGTCTAGGCCTTTCTAAAGGCTTCCATATACCAATAACTAAGCTTAGTGCGAAAAACAAGCGGGCAAGACTCGTTCTTGCTCGTGTGCGTGCGAGGAGTGATGCGGGCGTTACAGGTAAGCTCAGGTTTGGAATATAATATTAAAAAATAATAATAATAATAAAGATACTTGTATTACATGTAATATTTTTATTTTAAGCTTAATATAAATGTTGAGCAATATAATTCTTTTACATTATTATGAAATAACATATAACATGTAGTGATATATCATAAATTTATGGAATTCTATAGAATTACTTTTAAATTTACATTTGAGATAAAAATTATCATTTAAAAGATACACAAAATCTTTATAGAGTACATGGAAACTACAATTATATATACTCTAATTTTATAATTATTAAAAATATAAATAATAGTAATAAAATTAAAATAACATAATTTATTAATTTATTATCAACTATTTTTGAGTAACAATAGTGATACTTTGATAATGAACTTGTTATTTTTATAATAAATTATATTATTTTAATAGAGTTGTGAGGTGGTTATATATAAAAAATAAGTGCCAAAATTTCATTACAAGTAACTTTCTTTCTCCCACTTAATATTTGTATACTTTGTTTTCACATGCTCAACCTTTCTCATATTTTTCATTTTCAAAATTCTCATTTCTGTAAATATTGAGTTAAATTAAAAATAAGATTCCTAAAACTAAGAAACAGGTGTAGAAATAGAGAGTGGTGATATCAAGCAAATACTACTGTTTATTATTGAAGGCATTTGCACCGAAACAAAATCAGAAAACCATAATCCACCAACAATCAACTTGCATTGCCATACTCAGGCCACTTAGCACGAGATGACACTCCCCTATATCTTCTTTTTCTCTCATCAAATAAATGGTATAAGATATTTACAACAAAACAATAACTTTATTAACTAACTTGTACTACGGAAGAGATTCTTCCGACAATATAGTCAACAACGAATACTTTGCCTTGATCGAGATTCTGCCACCCTCTACACACAGCTTTGCCCCGGTGACCACCCAATACCCTGGTCGATCCTCAGGACCCCTAACCATTTCCTTTGTGTCCACAAAACTCAACATTTTTGGAGCCCTTGTTGGCACAGGTGGTCCACCATGATAAATTGCTGAGTTTATATCAACTTTAGTAGGCTTCTCTGGTGACTGCAGTTCTTTGCTAAGCCTAGTACTCATCAATGCTGAGAAGAATCCTGACTTTCTAAACGTGGTTGAAGGTCCGTCCCATTCTGATCTGCGAATTATGGCAGATGCTACCGTGGAGAATCCAAGTCTCAAGAAAAGAACTTTCTTCATTCCCACTACCTTAACTTCAAACCAGGCTTTTGTCACAATGGCTGTGGACTCGTCCATTAGGGAGCTACTGTACTTCACAGCTGCTGTATATACATGGGAAAACATGCTCCATTTCACTGGCTCGTAGTAGCCTCGTTCATCTGGTTCATCAACAGGATCATAAACATGGTCTTCTGAAATTTCAAGGGCTCCAGGAACCTCTGAAAGATGCTGCAGATGGATTGCCAGGTGGTCATTTTTCTTGCCTTCCAAGTATAAACGAATGCCAGTCACAGGTCGGTTTCCAGAGTCAACCTGCTTAAATGAAAATACATTGGTTTTTCACTATTTCACAACTTATTTGGACATAGCACAGTTCTTTATATTAATTTATAGAAACAACTTACAACTTATATGAAAGTAATTTAATCTTGTTTCTTCTTTGATAACTTATAAACAATTTCTTATATCAGGATAAACCCTTGTTTAATAAAATATTTACCCAAACGCAATGAATGGTAATATAGAAGTACTGTTACTGAGCTTTTGGAAGAAAGAAGTTCATAAATGTAGGCAACTTATTCAACCAATCCCATATAAGTAAAGTTCGCAATCTTTAAATGGTTACATTACAAGATATTAGAGCACAGGTAAACATTTGGGAAGGTTTATGATTTTATGACTATTAAAGACAGTTGTAAGAACCAAATCAATTACCTTCATGGTGTTAACATAAAGCTTTGATCCCATGAGAGTGAACTGAAGTGATGGAGACATGCTCTTTTTATACTTATGGCCGAATCCAAGAGGCAGATCACCATACATCGGGGCCCATTGCCGGGGCAACTGAAATTCTAAAAATTGATGAAGCTCTTCTATTTCAGGTTTATCTGTTTGAAACAGGAACTGTTAAAACACATGTACCAGATGAGGCACATTATAAAAAAAAAAATATGAAACATACAAGCATAGGTTAGTATTTAATGAAAATGTGAGAAGTGAGAGGAGTTGATTTGGACAGGGTCAAGATTAGTTCTTCTCATGAGAGCAAGCTCTCATTTGATACACTCCATGTATACGTGTGCGTATATGTGTGTATCTCAAAACTAATTTCAGGATAAATATGATACACAAGTAAGATTAATCTGATTTTATGTCTATTTATGTTATGAATCCTACAGCCATGCAAATAATTCTGAAATCGCTGTTCTCTGTCTTCTTATTCTCATGCCATAGTCCCACCTTTGGTGTTGCAGGATTTACATGATAATGATAAAGTTTTACTTCCATGAGATATCTTGATTACGAATTTAGAAATCAAGTCTTTAAGACATAACATTACGTATAAAGTTCATGATAAATATGAAAGGTAGATGCAATGTTGATAAACTGACTTCAAATTATAGCTTATAAAAATATTGATGTAAACAAAACTTTCCTCGAAAGTGGCAGGTGTCAACCAAATTCCAGAAGAAAAAAATTTCAAGAAAATAAGAGGCTGGTAAGAAACCAAAGTTGCAGGTGTCACTCACATCTAAGATACAAATTCACTGCGTGACTTAAAAATCCATTGCCTGGAACAGAATTCAACAGGGAAGTAATAGGCACAAAAGACATTGATATGACATTAGGACACTGTGATATGGTTGAAAGCCACTTGTTGTAAGATTGACCATTATCAATACCCCCTCTTCGAACAGAAATGCTCACAATATCCTGCAAAGCAATTTATATAAGTAAATCCAACTTTGTCAGATCAGGATGGCCAATGGTGCTACAGCTGAAGTGATGAAAATAACAACATTCTTGTAACAAAATGAATGTACTAACATCATTCTTGGAGTGACTTCTTAAGACTGGCCTGCCAGCAGCAGGATTAGGTTTGTTCCGCTGCCCATGATTATCCTGTAGACATGATTACAGATATATTTAGATAACTCAAACTTCCTAAATTTCCATTTCCATTCTTTTTTTTTTCACGTTTTACAAGGACAAGCATATTTATTGTTGTATTCTAAGCCGGCCTTTTTCTTCAGAACCATCTTTTTGGCATTCCTAGTGAGCAGTACTATGTTTTCACTTTGAAATATAAAGTCATTCTTGGCCTCTATATTGCAACTTCAACTGTTGGGAGAGTCTGTATTATGATATTTATTATAAAAGGCTTTGGTAAAAGCAAAGAAGCTAAAATTTTAGGAGTGCACTGTGAGCAACCCTTTGTTGCACCTGGTTGCAATCTTCAGTTTATTTATGTATTTAATATTTTTATGTTGCCATATGTATCTAGTTTCCATATTTTGAAGAATACATTTTCTTCCATGTAGTTTCCTACTCTCATTCAAACAATTTTTTTTTTCAACCAAATTAACAATTAATGGAATGGAAGACAAGTTGTCCTTTATAAGAAAAATGTTCTGCTTAATCTTCACCTTTAATTTTCTTAATTTGTCAGCAGGATTGACAGTAGAACTTTGATTTGAAACCTCAGAAAACCTCCCATCAGCTAATTGCTTTAGCAACTTCTGCACTTCAATCGGAGTGAAATCTGAATTTTTTGTCTGCTTGATATGTATCACATCCTTGCCTCCCATCTGCACCCCAACTATTATATGGGTACCATATTTTTCAATGAACCTGAAGAACCACATTTCATTAGAGCACTAATTAGGCCAACCAACATACGGAGTTTATTTTTATCAAAGACAGAAAGAATTTAATGATTGTTCACAGACAAAAATACACTAAGAGCTTTAAGTAGAATATTAAATTGTACATCATATTTGTTCATCCTATATTATCAGGATAAAGTTTCTCAGCTGTCTTTAAGGACAAATGTTTTTTGAAGTTTGAAGACTCTTCCAGACCAAGTAGGAATTCTACACATGGACCGAAAACACGCATACAAGTAAAATACATCATGAACTTAGACACATGAGTCTTCTTCCTTAGTCCAATAAATCGTTAACATAAACTGTTTAAACTGTCTCCATAAAGTCAAAATTTGGGTATAGCGGAAGTCTCACTCAGTTAGATATGGACTTAACAAAGTCATCTTTCCTCCAAAAAAACGGTCAATATGTTCATGTTTAAGCTTCTCAATGATTTGTATAGACTTCTGATATCCAGGACTGTTCTAACTTGCTGTAAAATATTTGTAGTCAACCATATCAGCTCTGGGAGGAAGCTAGAGTACTCTTTAGAACAATATCAATACTATTATGGTTTTAGCAATTATGGAACAAGTGGTAGGTAATCAAAGTGATATATATTCATAGTTAAGAAAACAAATTATATGTTCATACCAAAAAGCATCAATGCTCTTTAATATTTCAATACTATTAACAAAAAGAAAATGAAGAACGACAATGACTATAACACTTACTCAGCAAGTGCTACAGGGTTCCATGAACAAGGCACTTCTTTTTTCACATTTTCAGAAAGGGTTATGTTGGTTCTATCTAATTCGACATTATATAATGTTAAGAACCATCCATCATAGGCAAGGTTTTTAGTAGAAGCTGCGTCTGTAGCCCAACCATTTTTCATGTTGAACATGGTATTGAATTGGCCAGTTGGAATCTTTCCGGACAAAGATAACTGTTTGTTGAAATGCTCAGACATCTGCAACGAACCAAATTCATGGAAATTCAGACTTTCTCATTTTACAATATCTGATCATATGAATGAACCCAAGATGCACTCCCTAAATTTGATGTTAAATTAAAAAACCATCTATGACAAATGGTAAGAAAAAAAGATAAATAAACATAAGGGAAGTGGGGGGAAACTCCACCAACATTAACATGTTTGGTTGTGACAAACCAAAGTCAACTTTGCTCTTATAGAAGTAAAGCTGAGTAGAAGTGAAAAAATAGTTTTTCCGTTTGGTAAAGAAGTCCATACAAACTTGCTTTTGAGATAAAAAGTTTCTAAATATTAATCAGCGTTCTTCAACCTCAATTTTAACCAAAATCATCTTTTTAATCAAAAGAATGATCAAAATCATGTTTGTAAGTTGTCCGACCAATTTTAGTCCTCAAAAGTCAAAACAATACCGATAAATCCAGTACATGGTTAAAGAAGGAAATTTCAGTACCCAATTTCTAAATATACACATCCAACTAACTCGTATGGGCAATAATCCCAAAGAATTATCAGTAGCAGGTAGTAAGTAAAATCAAGGTTTCAAATTATCTCATGGTCCTTATCACAGGCAAATGTGGTCGATTCAACCACAATTGCGATGTCAGACATCCCAAAACCTTGATCTTGCAGTCAAATAATGGTCGTGGACTATTTTTTTAAAACCTTTATCGAAATTCAGTTTTGGCAACAAGGTAATTAAAACATTCAAAAAAATTAAAAAGATATATATATATATATATATATATATATGTGTGTGTGTGTGTGTGTGTGTATACATGAAAGAGCTTCATCATGAAAACAAAAACTCAACCAGAGAGACAGAATAACGACCGAATTAAACTGTTCAAACATTAAATACAGTATCATAGTTACTTTTTACACTGGTGAATATGTTGATGGATGTTGTTGGCGATGTGATGATGTAAGTACCTGATTAAAAGGGAGCACATCAGAGTGAAACCTGGTGCGTTCGCCCTTGTCACACTTGATGGAGTTGGGAACATCGTCCACAACAACCCCACCGGGAAAAACAAGGTCTCTAGTGTGTTTGCGACCAATCTCGATCAATCTAGACTTACAAGCAGAGAACCTTATATCCTTGCAAAGATCATACCCTTGGCCAATCACCTTCACAGCTTTCTCTGCGGCCATCTGGGGATCCAACCCCGCAATGCTCACGTTGATTATACCCATCATTCCTCAGAGGGAGTAGAGTGATGATCCAAGTCTGGTTTTTCGCTTGCCTCACTCTTTGTTCATGGATCGCAATAAGAAGAGTTAAGGAGAATAACAAGAACGAGTCTTTTTAACTGATTGTTGACTTGACTACGCTGTTCTTGTTCCTGCGATACGCAACGTTTCAAAGGGTGTACCCTAGGCATTTTTAATTTATTTTTTTTCTTTGGGTGCTTCTAAAAGGGGCCAGGTGATCGTGTTCAAAGATTGGACCATCGAAGAAGGGGACAAGCGAGTGGGAACGAGGAATGAGAGAAAAGCATAAAATGGCGGCTCCGCGTCTCTCCGTCCTCCACGTGGCACCTTCGATTGTAAATAACGATGCAAACCACGTTGGGTTTTATTAAGTGGAACCGGTCATAGCATATGGGTTGGTTGACTTGACTTGACAATTATTCTATGGTTAGTTTCTTAATACAACTTAACCTGTCTTAATAAATGAAAAGACTTGGTTACACTCTTTTAGCAATTCCTAGAAATTAACTCATTTTGTCATCATCTGAGATTACAACAAATAAAGTAATTTAAAATTGTGACTCTTCTTACCATAAAAAATATGTAGATCAACCTTCTTGTTGTATTTTAGTTCATAATAGGTAATTCTGAATTTTTGTTTAAATTTGCTTTCCACTTTTGGTTGAAAGTTCCCTTGCATACATTGTTACAGACGCAGGAGAATTCATTGGTATGTGATTAAGATATTGATTGATCCAGGTCCAAGAAGTGTGAAGTCTTGGCAATGAAGACAAAAAATGGGTTTGGGTTGTTAGCCATACTCTACCCTCTCTTTAGACTTGCTCCACCTCATCGTCTTCTTCATCTTATTCTTATACATTCATCCATTACAATACTCAAATGAAAGCAAAAGCAATTAAAGCCCGAACGGTTCAAGACTTCATCACACAATTCTTTTAAACTTATATTATTTTTGAAAGAATAAGGTGCATTGTACCATAATATTTTTTAAGCTAACTACAATCATCACAAATCTCACAAATAAAATTAGTCAACTTTTCCCCAAGGTTCAAGACAAAAGTCTTACATACTCTCTTTAAGGAAAAATAAATAACAATCAACTTTTACTTTTTTAACAAATTGATTAAATTTAATCAGCAATTAGGATAGTGACTACAAAATTTATTAAAAATAAAAAACTCGAAAATCTATTACTATGAAAAATGTTTAATATCCTATCATGTTGGTCATAAAGCTAGGTATCTATAGTTAATTAAATATATTATTTATATTTTTAAATAATTTTCTTATTATAAGGTAATTAGAAATTTAATTTAAGTAAGAGTTATTGGTTTAATTTTTATATGCATATATATGTACAAAAGAAATATCAATATTACATTTTTTTTCCTTCATAAAACTAATCTCATACTCTTATATCTTGCCAATGAATCAGAATTACATGATTCTTCACGAAAACAAGAATAATTTTTAAATTATATGATTTTATTAAATTTCAAATTTTCTTAGTATCTCAACTCATAACTATGAGAAAAATGGATAGGAATGTTCACCCAAACCAATCTATAAAAACTCTTACTTTATTGTTATCAATTAAAAAAAAAGTATGTTTTCTTTTAGAGAAAGACGAGATAGGATAATAAATTGTTACATGATGCATTCTTTAGTGTCTAAATGAAAATCATATGATATCCAATTAATTCATAGTTTGTCTTAATTGATTTTAATATTAATTGTATTATTATAATTTTAATTAATTTAGAAAAATTTTAAGAGGACAACTATATATTATTATACTTTAAATTTAATTTAAAAAAATGAAGATTATAAGTTGTTATAACTTACACCTCACCTAATCAAAACAATATTAAATTTAAATAATCAATTTTCTATTAAATCATTATATTATTCAAAAAGATATAATTTGGAAAATTTTAATAAATTATTATATTAAAAAAATATTATATAAATTTTATCTTTTTCCTCAATAGAGTCTTTATATGGAATAAGACACAGTGATATTCTCAGGATCAATTCTCACAAATTATTTTTCATTTTGAAAAATATAAAATATAAATTTATGATGTCATATTATTTTTATTTAAACAATTCATAAGTGATTTTCTTTAATTATAAATTTTAAAAAATTTATTCTCTTAAATATTTATTTATTTATTTTCTTTATTTTTTTAAGTTGTTTATTTTTTTATTTATGAGTGAAAAGGAAACTTGATCGTACATAACTTTTTAATCTCAAATTTAAGAGGCGAAGAGTTGAAGAGAATTTGAATAAAGTCTTGAGGGGGAAAATATTACGCTAATTACTGTAACAGCCATAACCCACAGGAAAACCACAAAAGCAATTGGAGCATCTTATAAATTGAGTGGAAATCGAGTTGTCCAAAATTACTAAATGGCAGATGAATCACGATAACATAAATGACGAAGATGATGTCAAAGGACTTCAATTTCTCTATTGTTTTTATTTTGCTTTGTTTTTAAACTTTAGCATGTAAGGTGCCTTGGTTTAACTAGTAGTATAATTGTTTTTATATAATAAATCTTATTTTTTTTCCTTTTTTTACTATTTTTAGTTGTAATAATTTTTATTTTATTTTTTTTCCTTTTTATTTTACGATGTGTGAAATTTTAACACGTTTATGAACAATAAAATAAGATGATATTAAATTTTATTTTTTTATTTTTTTTCCTCCATTCTTATGAGGTTCAAATCCAAAAGAGTTAAAATTAATTAAATATTAATCTAATGGTCTTGGGTTCAAATATCATCTCAAAAAAAATTTATTTTAACTCTCTAAGCTTATTATACATGTAACCAGCTTAGTCTTCTTAGTTACTTGAGGTTTTGACTCTTGGGTCTCCCATAAAAGAGTAATGTAAAATTTTTTGGGCATTTTTAATCATTCTTCTAGTTATTGATCCAATTAAATATTCAATTAGTTCTTCATCTTTCTTCTCTTGACCATAGACTTTTATGTCCATATCAAGTTCCCATGGATATCAAAATAAGTTTGCTCACATGACTAATAATGTCGCCTCTGGTGCTTCACGAGATCTCACGGTCAGTACTTAAATTTATTGAAGAGCATTATCATGATATTTGAACTCTTTTCCAATAATTCAAATCTCCTTTGCATACAACAAATTCGATGTTTACTCTTTCTGTTAATTCTTCTTCCACTCTTCCTAAAACTCCTTCTGTTCCTACAGGTAAAACATCTCATCAGTGACTTCTGGATGGATACAGATGTCACTTATCATATCACTTTTGATTTTTACAGTTTGGTCACTCATAAATCTGTTCTACCTATTTTCATTACTTTGTCAAATTCTATTAAGTTTTCACTTCTATATATGGTACTATTATATTGTCAGATTCCTTAATTCTTTATGGTGTTCTTTTTTATCCCAATTTTCATGTAAATTTAGTTTCTGTTCAAAAATTGATATAAACTTTGCACTATCATCTCCTTTTTTTAATCTAACTCTTGTGTTATTTTGCAGCAAACCTCCTAAAGGATGATTGGTTCAATTAGTTTGCATCAAAGATTGTATGTGCTAAATTTGTCTTACTCTTATACAACTATTGTCTTGTTTCTGCTCATACCATTATACTACCAAACCCAAAGATACCTCTCTTTGTCAACATACATTAGGTCGTGTCTCTTACTTTATTTTTCGTATTATTTCTCAATAATATTCTTTTATCCCTTACTTTGTAAATTTCTCTCCTTGTGACATTTGTCATTTTACTAAACAAAACAACGCAAAATGTCTCATTATAGTAGTGAAACACAGTCACATAAAGTTTTTGACATTATTCATGGAGACCATATTTTGTACCTTCTAATTATCGTTACAAATGTTTTCTCACTTTAGTTGATGATTAATCACGTTTTACTTGGGTTAAATTTATGAAATCCAAATCTGAAACTTGCACGCATTTAATGCATTTCATTTCATTTATTGAAACTCAATTTCATATTAAATTCAAATATTTTCGAAGTGATAATGGAGTATAATTTTTATTAACTGATTTCTTTTCATCCAAAGGTATTTTTCATCAAATAACTTGTGTTGAAATGCCTCAACAAAACGGTATCGTTAATATTTAAAATATCCATATTAATTAATATAATAATTAAATAATAACTATATTACTATTATTATTAATTTTATATAATAATTTTAATGGGTGAGTTGGATTGAATAACAAGAATATTAGTTTGTATCGAATTTTAACAATCATAAACCTAGTTAGTTGGATTAGGTTAGGTTAACTTACCTAGTTATCCCATTCAATGAACATCCTTAACCATAACATTATTGATTCGGATAAAGAGTCAATAACTAATGTAATAAAGTTAAGACACTACTACAAAATATGTTTTCAACATCGCCATTTAACGTCGGTTAAAGCCGAGCCAACGTTAAATACACTTTCAACGTCGGTTGGTTAAAAAGCGACGTTGAAAGTTGAATGTTGGACACATTCTATGTCGGTTCTTAGTCAACCGACGTAGAAAACACTTTCCACGTCAGTTCATCTAGAACCGACGTTGAATGTGTTTTCACCCAAAAATTCTCTTAAGTTAAAGAATTGTCACTGACGGATTCAAACCCGATACTTTAGAGTTGAAAGTCAATACTATAATTTTCCGATAATAATTTACAAATTAATTATATTTATATACAAATAAATATATATCCATGTAAATATATATTTATTTATATATATTTTTCTGGAAAGTGTTTTTATTTTTTTCAGCCAAAAATTTACTTAAGTTAGAGAATTGTCACTGACAGATGATTTGAACCCAGTATTTTAGAGTTGAAAGTTGATACTCCAACCACTAAACTACTGTAATTTTCCGATAATAACTTACAAATAAATTATATTTATATACAAAAAAATATATATCCATGTAAATATATAAATATAGAATATATAAATACAAATATATTTATATATTTTGATATATATATATATATATATATATATATTTATATAGTTATATATTTATATATTTATATGTTGGATGTGAGGACGCGTTCGAGGGTGAAAGTGAGATTGACTCTTGCTTGAGTGAAAATACATTAAAACTCACGGAAATTCACACGAAAATTAGTATTTTTCGTTTGAGCGAATGATGCGTTTCCCAAATTTATTTTATATCATTATATAAATAAATTATAAATATTATATTCTGTCATTAAATTACAAACCCATATAAAGAGACCCGCTCACAAATTTGACATCAAATTTTGAAAACCCACTCGACACACACTTTCACCTTCGAGCGTGCCCTCACATCCAACATATAAATATATAATTATATAAATATATCAAAATATATAAATATATTTGTATTTATATATTTATATATTTACACGATATATATATATATATATATATATATATATTTGTATATAAATATAATTTATTTGTAAGTTACTATCAAAAAATTCGAGTAGTTTAGTGGTTGGAGTATCAGCCTCCAATACTAAGGTACTGGGTTCGAATCCTGTCAAATATAATATAAAAGAGAGGGGAGATTTCTAGATAAATAGAGAGGGGTTGAAAATAAATAAAAATTTTCAATTTGAAAGTTAAAATTAGACTTTCCACGACTTTCAACGTCGCCTGATACAACGTCGTTTCTGAAACCGCTGTTGAATGCCTTCCAAAACCGACGTGGAAAACCTTATTTGTAGTAGTGAGACATGATCTCAAATGGTAACATAAATAGAATTAGCATGGAGTAACTGGAAGGGTGACTTACTTGGATCAATAACGATCATCTAGTAATATAAAGTGTTAATGAAATCAATACAAACCACAAAGTAACATAAAACTAAGTTAATGAGATTAGTTAAGACTGAAAAATAACACAGGCTAAAGTGATGAACCTTTATCAAGGTGGATATGAAAGAAAGGTAACTAATTAGAAATTTATTCAATAGTTAATTGGAGTTTATTTTAGAGGGGAAATATAAAGATAAAAGATTAGTTTTTCTTTATTATGAGAAGATATACAATGAATTTTCATATGAGAAAAAAAAGATTTCTTTATCTTTATTAGTGCGAAACAACTCTATCCATGAAGATCATGGACATAATTTTTGCATTAGAATATATTATTTGATGGGATGGAAGAAACTTTGTTTGAATAGTTATTAACTTGCATTATGTCAGATGAAGAAAGTGTATTATAATATATCAATATATATGAAGTTTTATTTTTCACATATATCTAGGGAAGGCAATTCGTGTGTTAATTTATTAGGTAAAGAATTTAGTTTTAAGAGTAAGCATGATTTTCTACCATATTATTTGAAAATTTATAGGTATGAGTTTTTCAAAATCAAAAACAATTTTTCATGAGTTTTGATTTAATACATTCAAGTGTTATTATTTAATAGTAAAACAAAATTAAAAAATAATAATAAAAATATTTAATCCCAAAATTAGAGATAGATTGATACGAGAATAAAAATCCTGTGGACTAAATAGTAATCTTAATAAAGATAAAATAAAATTGGAATATATATATATATATATATAATTAAATTATTTACATGGTTAAAAACTATTTAACAGTTTTTAATAAATAATTTGAATTATGGTATTGTAAATATTTTCAGTTTTTTTATTCAATATAATTAATTTTATAGTCATGCTTATAAATGATTCAAAACTGATGAAAGAATATATGATATTTTCAATTAGTAAAAAAATATTGATTTTTAAGATCGTAAACTTTGATTTTTGTCTAATACAATATATATATATATATATATATATATATATATATATATATATATATATATATATATATATATATTATTAACAAGTGCACTAATGATTTTGAAATTCTTTATTGTCGTGCAACAACGTTCAGAAACAAGATTAAATAATTCCAATTTTTCTTAATGTCATTTTCTAATTATGTTTATTACTAAATTTTAATCTTAAATGTTTTTGTTTAATATTAAATTGAATTTATTTTCTCATTTAATACTTTTTATGAAATAGAATATAAAACACAACAGCATTCATTACAAACACATACTACTTAAAAAGTGCAATCAGTAAAATAAGTTTTTTATGTCACGTAATTTTTCTTGGACTAAAAAATAATCAACTTAAAAACTAAAAAATAATAAACTTAACAAAATATGATGATATTTTTATAAATAAGGGACATTACTTTTATGTTGGACTTTTAGAGTTCATGTAAAAGTTATTTTTTATACTCGGGTGATTCCCTAACGACGTACAAGTAAAGTTTTTACTGGATTGTTATTAAAATTAAATTGTTATAGTTTATGATTATTCATTTATGCGTTGAAATCTTATATTTTTTATTGTTATTTTAAATTTATTATAGAATATAGGAGATTTAGGATTTTATGATAAAATAAAAGCGAAAAATATTTGAAGCAAAATAAGTTTTGACGCAGATGCTCTTAAGCACATGTAATAGACAAAAGTTTGTGCGGATGTAACTAATTATTGAACAGATGTAATTGCTTTCAATAATTGTTAATTAATATTTCAGACATTCTAAGATTCATCTATCTCCACTATCAAAACATGATATTACACAAATTAAAGAACAAAGAACAATGTTTTTTATTCAATATTTTTAGTACTTAGTTTGTAGGTTATTCTTTGTATTATATTATGTAGTTTAAGATTTAGATGACTTAATTTTTGTTTTTGTATTAGTTTATATATTGTATTAGTTTAGTTTTGTAATGTTTATTTTTTTAAGTAATTTAGTCTTGTATTATATTATATTGTATTATTGTCCATTGAAATCTGGATTCGCGGTAAGACAAAAAAAATACCAAAATTTACATTTGACAAGGGACATACCTAACATAAATTATCGATATAAATTTCCATATCTTATGTTAACATCAAACTCCTTACTAAACGATAAAAAAGATTAAAATAATAAATATAAAAACCTTATTTTGTATGAGTGAAGAAATAATTATAAATTTTAAAACTATTAGTATTATATTTATTTACTACATTAAAATTCTAAACGTTTTCCCTAATTAGGTAATAAAAACAATATTTTTTTATACTCGTAACGACTCTAAAGTCAAATTTCATAAAGAAAAGAAATTTTTTAATTATTGTAACTATTAATTAAGATGCATGTTAATGAATAAATATATTTATTGCAACATCTTGAATCAATGGGAAAGCAGATACAGCTGTGTTGATTTGTTGATAGAACTTTTTGTATGTATAAATGACAGTGATGGAGGGAGCAAATCTCAATCAAGAATATTTTTTTCTTCTTCAATGAAAAGAGAGATGGAGGCACATGTTGAGAAAGTGATGAAAAAAACCAAATACTCTCTAATCAGTTGCACAACTAGGATGATTAATGAAGGTGAAGAAGCAGCATGTGGTTTGAAGCAAAAAGGAAAAGCTGCGTACGAGGATGCTGAAATGGACCCAGAGATTGAACATCTGATAAGAACATTGTTCTGGGAGATTGATAATTGTCCTCAAAACCTAACAGGACAAATACCTGTCAAGGTAAACAAATTAAAGGAAAAAGCATGATATCTCACCTACAGTTTCCAAGAGTTTAAGAGTAAAGTTTGTGTTTCAGAAGATTCTCACAAATGAAATTCAAGTGGATTTTCTCTCTAATTGGGATTCAATACCCTTCTTAATGTTATCTTTGCTTACAATGAGCCAGTTCACTTGTTTGGTTGAATAGTGCATTTTATTGTGATTAATAAAGTAAAAATTACGAATAATTTTATATACTGGGTATTTTAATTTGCTCAATTGTGATTGATAAAACTTGTTGCTGGTATCATGGTTGAACTCATTCTAGTGACCCCAGTTGCATAATTTAACTCAGGTCACACTCTTCGTCTTTTAAGATTTTGTATATCTATAATAAAATATTAAATATTTATAGTATATTAGTATTAATTATTAAAATAATTTTTTTTATTTTAAAATATAATAAAAATATGTTAATATTTAATTTAAATAAAAAATTTATAAAATATATATTTCTAAAAATGAATTACTGTGTCTGTGTTTCGGTGTATCATCCGTTTGGTTAGATCTTAAATTAATATTATTGTTGTTGAGACAGCGATGTTGGTTGATGTTAGATAACTCTAACCAGACTTATCTTAAAAATTGCTATCTTTAATTTGTGAACTTCTAAACAAGAATCTTTTTATCCGTAAAAGGATTTTGTCAAGTGGAATTTCTATAAAGTATAATCCTTAGAAAAACAAGTTTATATAAACTTAGTTTTTATTGATATAGTCAATTTTATTGTACTGTGTATTATTTTAATTATTTGTACAAGTGTTATGAAAATTGAAAATAAATTGTAATTATAAACATTTTAATTGTAGATAAATGACCCACAACGGTGATATCAGTCTGATTAGGAGTTTGACTAATTTACGAAAGGTCTTAAGTTTAAATATTTTATAAAATAAAATTGATATATATTAATGAATTGATAAAGAAAATAGCTATATATTAATGAGACAATAAATATTTTAAACTTAAAATAATATTTTTTAATAAGAGCTTTTAATACAGTTTTTAGTTTTAAAATTTAAAATATTTACAATAAAATATTAAATGATGAAAGAGTAAGTTGACTATATTGCAGAAAAAAAGTGAATATAATTAGTGCACTGTATTCGTAACATTATAACACCCATCTCTCTCAACATCTTTTCTATACATCTCAACTAATTACAAATATTATATATATATATATATATATATATATATATATATATATATATATATATACACGAAGTAATTTTATTTTAAAAAATAAAAAAATTATTTTTTTTATTATTTTTAATTTAATTATCTAAAATATTAATTTTAATTATTATATTATAAAAAAATAATTAAATTAGAAAAATATTTTTAACTCTTATTTTATAAAATAATAAAAATTATAATTAATTAAATTATACATGTACTCTTAAGATATTCTCACCTCAAGAAACTTTGGGTTATACCATCCAATTATGACCATATAAATACTATAAAGTATAAAGAATGTAGGGTAATTCCTAATTCTATAATAAAATCACTACTCACACCTCATTATGTCATTGATTTGAGTGTCGTAATGTTCTTGCAAGTACACCTCAAGCTCTCAGCGCCTCGAATTGACTGTCGAGGACTTAAAGACAAATATCCAAGAATAATACCACATTGTTTGAATAAGAAGCATGTTCATGTTCGGCCATGTAAGAACATAATTGACGTCCATCGTGAGGCTAAATAAGAACACGACCAATGGTATCTACTAGAAACATGACTAACACTTAGCGACAAAGTCCACCAAGAAAAGAAAACCAAATCAGTTAAGCGTCCCTCCTAGCTGAATTGAGAAGGGAACTCCAAAACTTCAAATCGAGAAAGTTCGAAGGAAATAATGGCGTTAAGAAAGGAGAATAATCGAATTACGAAGCGGTTGGAAGAAAAGGAGGGAGAACACGACCCGGAGAGTCCAAGGACATCCAGAATACGGGTATAATCGACTAGTACCCATCCTTCATTACCCGTCATGCAGGACCAAGCGTATTATGGTATGAATGCTTCTTTGGAAAGGATGCCAAATCCTGTGACAATCATAGGACCTCGACATCACCCCTTTGTCGATGGAATTATCGAGGTCCATATACCAGTCTCGTGAAAGGCTTAACAATAGACTAGTACGATGGGACGATTGACCTTGATGAACATATAAATGTATATGTAACTCAAATAAGCCTCTACTCGATTGATAACACGATCTTATGTCGGGTGTTCCCCACTTTGTTAAAAGGGGCGACATTGAACTGGTTCACAAGGTTACCTTCATACTCAGTTAATTATTTCAAAATGTTGAATATAGAGAAAATAGGATTTGGAATTAATTTTCCTTGTGTATAAATCACACATAGGGTGGTCTATTTATAGTAGAGAGATACAACTAAAAGAGTAACTAAAAGTAATAGAATAAACAGAAGATATTGTTTGATATTGTGGTTACCAATATCTAACAATATCTTAACAATATCAAATAATATCTAAACAATATCTAACACTCCCCCTCAAGCTGAAGCATACAAATCGTATGTGCCAAGCTTGTTACAAATATAATCAATTCTAGGACTCCGTAAAGACTTAGTAAAAATATCTGCTAACTGATCACTTGAATTAACAAACTCAGTCTTGATATCTCCAGACATAATCTTTTCTCGAATAAAATGACAGTCAATCTCAATGTGTTTGGTCCTCTCATGAAAGACATAATTAGAACTAATATGAAGAGCAGCCTGATTGTCACACACAAGTGTCATTTGAGTGACATCTCCAAATTGTAACTCTCTAAGCAATTGCTTGAGCCAAACAAGTTCACAGGAATCTGAGACCATAGCTCTATATTTTGCTTCTGCACTGGATCTTGCCATAACACTTTGTTTCTTACTTTTCCATGAGATCAAGTTACCACCAATGGAGACACAATATCCAGATGTAGATCTTCTATCCGAAGGAGATCCTGCCCAATCAGCATCTAAGTAACAAACAACTCTTGTATGGTTATTAGAACCATATAACAATCCTTTTCCAGGAGATCCTTTAATATACTTCAAGATACGAATGATCGCATTCCAATGATCTTCACCTGGTGAATTAAGAAATTGACTTACCACACTCGATCGCAAAGGAAATGTCGGGACGAGTAATTGTAAGATAATTCAATTTTCCAACCAATCTTCTATACTTGCTCAAGATCCGATATAGACTCCCCGATTTGGTAGAAGTTTAGTATTGGGATCCATGGGTGTATTAACGGACTTTGAACTCATCAACCCAGTTTCCTCCAAAATATCTATGACATACTTCCTCCGAGATATAACAATACCATCATTGGACTGTGCCACCTCAATACCCAAGAAATATCTAAGTTTGCCAAGATCTTTGGTCCGAAAATGGTGACGAGAGATGTTGTTTCAACCGAGAGATGTCATGGTTGTCACTACCTGTAAGAACGATGTCATCAACATATACTATCAAGTAAACACATCCAAGCACTCGAGTGTCGATAAAAGACAGAATGATCCGATTCACACCGAGTCATACCAAATTGTTGAACAACCTTGCTAAACTTTCCAAAGCAAGCCCTAGGAGACTGTTTTAGGCCATATAGGGATTTGCGAAGACGACATACCATCCCAGAAGACTCCCCCTGAGCAACAAACTCAGGAGGTTGCTCCATATATATTTTCTTCTTGCAAATCACCATTGAGGAAAGCATTTTTAACATCCAGTTGATAAAGAGGTCATTGTTGAAGAGCAGCTATGACGATAAATAAACGAACAGAAGCCATCTTTGCCACAGGGAAAAATGTATCTCCATAATCCAACCCAAAAATTTAAGTATAACCTTTGGCCATAAGACGAGCTTTGAGGCGATCAATAGTACCATTAGGTCCAACTTTGATGGCAAACACCCACCTGCAACCAACAACAGATTTCCCAGACGGTAACGAGACCAATTCCCAAGTTCCACTATTATGAAGAACACTTAGTTCATCTAACATGGCCTGACGCCAACCAGGATGGGCTAAAGCTTCACAGACAATTTTTGGAATGGTCACAGAAGAAATAGAGGAAAGACTGTCGATGATAACTCAAAATAATATAATGGGGAGAGGGATTACGTGTAGAACGAATACCTTTTCGGAGGGCAATGGGAAGGTCAGACTCATGTGTCAGATCCGGAGGAGACAGAGTAGTTGACACTTGAGTAGAGTCACATGGTGGTGGTTGTGATTGGTTTCGAGAACTATAAATCTGAAGAGGCAATGGAGAAGAAGCTGACTGCGGAACATGAACTAATGGTGAAGAAGACACAGTTAGAGGGTCACAAACAACAGGAACATTAAATGTATTAGGAGTGTTGACCAGATTAAATGGAGACAGAGGTGAAGATTGACTTTTAAAATAAAGAGACAACTCATCAAAGGTGACATCTTTTGACACAAAATAATGGTTAAGAGAAGGAGAAAAACATTTGTATCCTTTTTGTGATCTTGTAAACCCTAAGAAAACACATTTATGTGATCTAGGAGAAAGCTTGTCAAGACCAGAACTGAAATTATGAACAAAACATGTAGACCCGAAAACTTTCAGAGGTAAATAATGAAGTGGTTCATGAGGGAATAAAATGGAATGAGGTATTTTATTATCTAAAACCGAAGAAGGCATGCGATTAATGAGATAACATGTAGTAAGAAGAGCATCACCCCAAAAATGTTGAGGAACATCTCCATGAATTAAAAGTGTGCGAGTTGTTTCAATAAGATGTCTATTTTTACGTTCAGTTACACCATTTTGTTGAGGTGTATAAGCACAAGAAGTTTGATGCAAAATACCGTGAGAAACCATGAATTGTTTAAAAGAATGAGAAAGATATTCACGGCCATTATCACTACGCAAAACTCTAATAGAAACACCGAACTGAGTTTGAATTTCATTAAAAAAAGTTTGAAAGATATGAAATAATTCAGAACGATTTTTCATCAAAAATAACCAAGTGCATATGGAATAATCATCAATGAAAGTAACAAAGTATTGAAAACCTAAAGTAGATTTAACGCGGCTAGGTCCCCAAATGTCAGAGTGAACCACGACAAAAGGGGACGAAGCACCACGTGTGAAACTACGAGGAAA